TTGTATTGAAACTTATGTATTGACGACATGTGTTGTTGACCTCTTGGCCAGGTCACCCTTGTAAAAGAGATCGTGATCTCAATGGGTTTTTTACCTGGTTAAATAAAGAGAAGTAAGTTGCAGCCAAGTTGATCATGGTGTGCAACTTAACATGTGTGGTCCATTAAGAACAAAAGACAAATAAAGCTGTTTTACCTGCAGAAAAGGGCATGAAGGCATCTCTCCTGATAAATTTACCATCTTTATCCAGGAAATGTGAAGGGTTGAAAGTGTGTGGGCTCTGCCATTCACTCTCATCATACAGGACAGAAGTAAGAAGAGGAAACACTGTAGTCCCGTGAGAGCAAAAAGGAAGAAAGTGGGATATAGCATTACGTTTTAAAACAATGGGCTTACAGAGAGGAACATAACAGCTTACACTTCTTATAATGAGAAAATTGTGAAAAATCCTATCTTCATCACAAATGCTGAAGGAAGATCTATTGCAGTTTGGCTGTCAGGCAGGGGAGTAGAGGATTCAAAGCTGTTTATATTGAATCTTTATAGACATCTTGAGAAGCCGCAAGCCCACACCAGACTTCTCATCAACATTTTAATACACGACAGCCACATCTTCTATTTGAAAGGTTGCCTTGTGGGGTTAACTTGTCTCATCAGTTTGTACTATTGATTCTGGATTTCTTGACTAATAGCAAGTAGAGTGTTTTTGTAAACAGTATTGTTTTCAGACACCACAGTCACTTCTACAGGTTCGCCAGAAAGGTGTGACCTCTCACCTCTACTAGTATGTACACTAAGCTATGAAGGGGCCCCCGGGACGAAAGCTATCTGGTTAAATTTTCTGATGACACTGCACTACTGTTACTTCTTCAGGGTTCACAATCCAACCATGGCAAAGCCCTAACTGATTTTATTTCCTAGACTTGAAGCATCCTTTACTCTTACCCTAATTAAATTCATGTCCGCAAAATAAACACAATAGTTTGATATTAGATGGAGTAAAAATGCAGCAAAGAAATGTATTATACACAAGGAAAGTGTAGATATTGTTGAATCATGTGAATACTTGGGTACATTTTTGATGCTCAACTCAAATTTGATGCAAATACAAATTGACTTTGCTGCCCTTAGGGTCTCTGCAGGTCTCCCCACCCCCCAGTGTCACTTATGTCATTTTTATGTGTGTCATGTATGTCCTATGTGTGTTTTATACTGTACAAGCTGACCCCCAAAAGTATTTGCCTGTGGTGGGATTAATACAATTGGTTTTGAGTTGAACAGTCCTCTGACCTCTTTGATGAAGTAGCCCTGGAACGTGACGTCTCGGCTGGTTTTGTGAGGAATGGCCATGGGGAGGATGTTGGCAAGTCTCTGCGACTCGTGGATGACAGCATCAGTGTAAGGCAGGTTCTTCCTGTCCTCTACTTGTACCCGACGACTTCCAACCACCCTGCTCAGTTCCTCCTGGACCTGGTCTGGATGCACATAAAGCAAGAACATGATTTGATAAATATGTGCTCAGATTTCATAATAGCACTGTTAGTTGAGACGAGCATGTGGGTATGTTTGTGCACCTTGAATATGAGGGTACTTGGACATGAAAAGTAAACACCACTGAAGTGTAGTTGCTGTTGTGTCAGTTCCAGCTGCACTCAGATTTATCACACTATAGAGGAGGTTGTCATCATGGAAGTGTAAATTCTTGATTTCAGACTCCTAGTGTAACACAGAAAATAGAGATTATATTTAAAGCCCCCATGGCATGTTCATTTCTAACCATTTAGTGTTTAATCTTGGGTATCTCTAGATTATTTTAGCACCCATCATAACTCCAAATAATCTGTATTTCAGAATGATAAAATGGATCTGGATCTTTAATCCGCTCATTAACCAGCAACACATCACATGCGGCAGACACACTGGCCACAAACAGCCAAAACAAACAGGTACTGTGCTCCGGGGGGATCCAGCATTGATGAGCTGATCATCCACCACCCGGGGTGCTTCACTGGCCGGCTGCTTGTAGGTTAGACACGGTCAGGTAAAACAGCCAGTCCCTGTACAGGAACACTCCCGCAGGCAGTAACCTCAGGCCCTGTATTTTTCTTCACATCCTCTGGTAGCAGCAGGAGGTAAAATATATCCACAAAAC